CGTTAACAGATGTGTCCCAATGAGGAGAGGCAGCTTGGTAAAACAGACCATAAAAGATTCAGAAGATCTAGGGTATAGTCCTAGCTTTGGTATTAATTATGGTGTGCCTGTATTTCATTTTTATCAGAATAACAGAGATCATATACTTGTTCTATGTTTCACAGGACACTGCAGGGAATCATAAGAAAGTAAGAATGAGGGAACTTTTTGAAAAGCATAAAGTTCTATGCAGCCATCAATGTATAATATTTACCTGAAGAACATCAGGGTACCATGTTCACAATCACTTATTGAGAAAGAGACAGAAAGATACTCACCTTTCTTAAGGGCAGTTTCCTCAATCCTCTCCAAGTAATATATATTGAGCAGAGGTAAGATGCTTTGAAGTATTGGGCCTGGGAGGGCTACAAAAACCAAAACACAGAAAGTTTACTTTTCCCTCCCCCAGGGTTCCAAGAATTATATATTCTATTGGAAAGGAAAACAGAAGAGTAGACTTCTCATATGATACATGGAACCTGGAAAAGCTAACTTAAGTCTCGTCTAAACTCTGGTCCACGTGTCTTCAGTCACTCAGTTGACAGCTGGAATTTCAGGGGTAAGAGTGCGATAATCTCACAAAACAAGCTGGAGCTGGTCAGTTCACTTGTACACAAGCATAACAAAAACATTCTGCATTCAAAAGATCCTATTGAGGCTAGCATGCATGAAGTCCTGGGTTCATTTCCACTTCACAAAAAATATCCTACTGAATATGTGTGATAAAAGCTTCTTCACAATCTTCCCTACTAACTTGAGCTCCCTGCTTTGCCACCTATATTTCAGTCACATTAAATTACTTTTTTACCTATGCATATTTTGCTGCTTTCTGCCTCTGTGCCTTTGTCACACTGTTCTCTCCAACAGGAATGTCCTTGCCACTTTCAGGGAATCAACCAATCATCTTTCCACTGTCACAAGTCCTTTATTAACTTTTCTGAATTCCCTTCCCATGGACCACAATTCCCTTACAGACTGACCACTTCCATCCTTTGGGTCACTGCTATAACCTGAACTAGTACTTTTCTATGAAGAATAAAGACAATCTCTTTACTCTAAATTTACTGCGCCGGGTCTGGTGGTGCATGCCAGGAATCTCAATAACTCACAAGGCTGAGGCAGGAGACTGCAAGTTCAAGGCTAACCTGGGCAGCTTAGTGAGACCCTGTCTCAATAAGGGCTGGGGATGTAACTCTGTGGTAGAGCAGCATAGAACAACAACAAAACAACCAAACTGGCCTTGTCAGCTCTCTCTTTCTGGGAGGGATTGTAGTATAGTGCCTAAAGACTTTAGTCTCTAGACTTGGAAATCTGGGTGAAATCCTGACTGATTACTTAGTTAACTGTGAATTCTTAGACTATGTAACCTGTTTAAGCATCAGCTTCTGCAATTTTATTTTACTTATTCTCTGTGGTTCTGGGAATCAAACCCAGGGCCTCATACTTGATAGGCAAATGCTCTACTACTGAGCCACATACCCACCCAGCTTCCTCAATTTTAAAATGAAGATCATAATGACTACTTCATGATATTATAAGATTAAATGCCTGGCCATAATAAACTCACTAAATACTGGCTATTAATATGTCAATATCATCTCTGTACTAGCAAGAATGAGTCTAAAATCTTGGAGTACAATGGCTCGCCATTCCATGATCTACTTTTTTTTTTTTTTTTTTGGTACCGAGAGTTGAAGTCAGGGGCACTCAACCACTGAGTCACGTCCCCAGCCCTATTTTGTATTTTATTTAGAGACAGGGTCTCACTGAGTTGCTTAGCACCTTGTTGTTGGTGAGGCTGGCTTTGAACCTGAAATCCTCCCGTCAGCCTTCCTAGCTGCTGAGATTACAGGTGTGCACCACCCTGCCTGGCCCATGATCCACTTTTAATTTTACTTGTAAATAACTGAATCTTGAAATTCAAGAGTCTGAAAGTATTAATTCCCTATATTATTGCACTAATAGAGGCCATATCAACTATCATCTGGATTAACTGCCCTTCTTGACTTCAGTCTCTCTCATGTCTCTCTGCATCCTAATCTTGGTGGTGACATTCCCCTCTTCAAAACCCTCAAAGGCTCTCTAATGCACTCAAGATTCAAAGTTTAAATTTCGTATACTGACATTCAAGGTATATGCCTTACTGTACTTAAGTTTCTTCATACTACCTTTTTCCCATTGCCTCTACTCATGCCTCCTTTCACAAATCAGTGTTAAGTCTGCTACCTCCAGGAAGGCTTTTCTGGCTGTATCTTAGCTCACACTGGGGACTCAATCAGTAATAATGGTGAAGGCATGAACAGCAGAAGTGGGAGAAGGAAAAAGAGGAAAAAGGAGATTCAGGAAACTGTCATCTGTTTGGGGAGAAAAAAGCAACATAGAAGTTCCTCCAGAGCCTTATACCTTTTTCCTCAAATCTGCTCCCCTCTGTCTACCCACTCCTTCTCAAAGCCACAGAAATGTTCATTCTCTTATTACCCATAAACTCTGCTCCTCCCTTCCCCATTCTTCTTAAGCTAGGTTCTTCCTTGCTTCCTTCCAGGCTATACCTTTCTTTAATGCTTCCTCCTCCCAACTTAAAGCCTTCATACTCAGTCTTCTTGCCTTCTAGCCAGAATTAGCATCCCAGAAGTTCTGGGCTGATGCAGATAGATCTTTCACATTCCCAGGACTTTTCTGAGTTCTTGCTCAGCTCCACTGACACTTTTCTTCCATTCCCTTGGGTCAGCCTGACCTTTCTCAGCTGCTGGCACAGGGCCTCCACAATCCCCTCCCCACAAGGGACCTGAGGACTCCTTTACAGGAGGGAACTTGGGTCTCTTTAGTATTGGTGGCCCACTCCCACCACCAAGCGCCTCCCTGGCCACTCTCCAAATTCCAGGGCCTTTTCCAGAGGCCACCTCTTCATGGTGTAACCCAAACCCCTACCCTGGGGCTCCAAGCCTCCACACCTGACCTGACCAGCGTCTTTCTCCTGGCAAAGATGCTGCCACCACCCCAGAGGCCTCCTGGTAAACCCCTCCCCCACACGCTCCAAGGCCCAGGGCCTCTTCTTCTCAGCACCCCCCCTTGACGCCTGCCCTGTCCAGGCTCCCTGTCCTGGCCTGAGACCTCCTCATCGACTTCAGCCTGCCTCTGAACCCCACCCCGTCACACCACCAGTCTGTCAGGCCCAAGGCCTCTGTCCGGGTGCAGCCAGGCCTGCTTCGCAAGGCCCTCACTTTCCCCTCTCACTCTCTACTACCAGTCCTCACTGCTTCCCTCCTCAGAGGCCAAGCAGCAGCTAGCGGTACCCATCCCACAGCACGGTCTCTGCGTGCCCATCTGGTAGCACGCCTCCTCTCCGCCCCTACCAGCCCAACTAGTCGGTTCTTCCTTCCCAGACGCTCACCCTGGCGCCCCAGGCCGCCGGCCCACCCTCCTCCGAGGCTCGGCCCTGCACCACCTCAGACCTGGAGCCTCTGTTCACTCGCGTTCGGACCAAGGCCTCTTAGCCGCGACGCGCCCCCTCCTATTCCAGCCCATCAGTCGGGGCTCCCCAGGCCATCGCCCTGCCTGGGGCCTCCTCGGCCCTTCCGCCGGCAAACCCGCGAGCCTTCCTCGCTGGCTGAACCGCTCTGGGCCCCCTCCACCCGCTCTCCACCCTACCTAGCCGCTGAGGCCCATCCCTGTGGCCTCCGGTGCTCTCAGTTCTGCGGGTCACTCGATCGCTCGGTCAGTTTAGCAGAGGCCCCGGTCGTCGGTGCGCTCTGGACAGCCCTGGGCGGCCAGACAGGCCGCGGGCGCAGAGCCTTTCGGCCTCTCCCCAGCCCCTAACCCTTGCTCTTCAACCCGCTGTTCCACTCACTCCCATCGGCTTAGCCTCCAAGTCTCGGCACCCGGCACCCGTGATGTGCCCAGCAGACACCAGAGGCCACAGGCAGTGAATCAGTTCAGGTGGCCCGGGGCCTGGCCTTCTTGCCTCGGGCCAGGCCTGCCATCCTCGGTCCCCTGCCCCTGCCCTGGTCGGCCAAAACACCTCTGCCCGTTGGTTCGACATCCGAGATTCTTCAGCGGTCTAGCCGGGTGTCAGTTCGGTGCTTGCGGCTCTGGCCCGTCACTCCCGCCTCTGTAGCCCAAGTCCTGCCGGCTTTGCCCTAATCTGGGCCTCCTGGCCTTGCCCCCGGCGCCCCCCGGCCAGGCCACCGTGAGGGTCCACTTGCTCATTTGGTCTCGGTCTTTACTCTGTCCAACCCTGTCAGTCACAGAATTCAAGTTCCGACCCAACAATCTAGCTTCTAGTGCCCGGGGCTGGGCCTTGCCCGGGGCCTCCCGGCCTCGCCCCCTTCGCCCCCTGGCCGCTGGGCCGCCCCCGCTCGGTGCCAGAGGTAGCCCCTCACCCCGCGACTTACCCCACACCCCGCTCTCCAGAACCCCCATATGGGCGCTCACCGCCCGCCCGCACAGCTCGAACAGGGCGGGGGGAGCGCTGGGGCCCGAGGCCGAGCTCTTCGCTGGCGCCGCCTCCCGGGACGTGGCCTCCATGGTCGTTGCCGCCGCTACCTCACAGAACCAGCAACTCCGGGCGCGCCAGGCCTCGGGCGCCGCCATCTTGGGGAGGTGCGCGAGCCCGAGGGTGGCACCCTCGGGCCGCCATCTTGAAAAGGTCAGCAGTTAGGACAGCTCCACAAGCGATATGGGTAAGAAAGGGAAATACGCTAGAGGAATGTCGAATAAACTAGCACAGTTTCCAAGTCTCTTAGAAGCTAATCTTTTAAATAAACTCTTGTATCAGTAAACTTGGATCTGGAGTAACTAAGGGGATGTTTCTTAGCAAAGCCGCTTTAGGTGTAAATATTAGTTCCCCCTACCTCCTGCCTTTAACGGGTAGTACAAGCCAATTCGAGCGTGTGTTCACGTCTACGAATAGTATGCCGCACTTCCGGCCAGATTGCCGGATATCCGCTGAGTGACCCTTACGAGTCCTTCTTGATCCTGAAGTGGAGTGGGTGCCGCTGTTGCTGCTGCTGGTGTTGAATCCGTAGCCGGACATGGGCCTGGAGGACGAGCGAAAGATGCTGACTGGATCCGGAGATCCCAAAGAGGTCAGGCAAGGCGATCGACTCGACCTTTTTCACTGCCCTGAGGCCAAGGACCTAGCCCGCTAAAACGCAAAAAAGCCCTGGCCCTTTTAATCAGAGTTAGCCCCCTGTGGTTTGTAGGGCCTGGAGAGCTGATTCCAAATACCCTTTCTCCGTATATTTGTCGAGTGACTTTTGGAGAGGTGGCGGACTGGTCCCTCTGGGTCTCGGCTTCCCGGTTGTGTGAATGTGGTGAAGGATTAACAAGAGCGACTAAACTTTCGTAGTTCCGTATTTTCAGCTAGTCGAGTATTTTAAAGGTTTGTGGACCAAACAGACCGACGCTAGTCTTTACCCCATCTCTGATCAGGAGTCCCTACACCACATCTGTGGAGGTTCCGGGAATATGGCCTTGCATTAGTTTCTGTGAAACAGTGATTCTTTTCTTTGGGGCGAGGGAGTTGTATTTTTGGGGGACAGTGTAGGAACTTGCAGTATAATTCTGTGGTGGAAGAGGGAGCTCTTTTCCAGACTGAGTGGTGACGACATCATTAATATCAATATTTGACTGCTTACTATTCCAGTGCTTTGTGTGTACTAATACATTCAATCAATATAATATTCTTATGAGGTATTAAGTACTATTATTATTGCTATTTTTACAGAAGAGATAAAAAGCATGGAGAAAGGGGGGCTGGGGTTGTGGCTCAGTGGTAGAGCGCTCGCCTAGCGTGCTCTAGGCACTGGGTTCATCCTCAGCGCCACATAAAAATAAAGATATTGTATCTGCCTAAAACTAAAAAGTAAATGTTAAAAAAAAAAAAAAGCATAGTGAAGTAACATCTTGCCCAAGGACACACACATAACAAAATGTGGTGGCACACACTTGTAATCCCAGCAGTTTGGGAGTCTGAAGCAGGAGAATCCTAAATTCCAGGCCAGCCTCAGCAACTTAGCTAGACTCTGTCTCAAAATAAACTAAAAGAGATAATAGGAAGGGAGCTGGGGGCATGCCTGAGTGGTAGAGCACCCCTAGGTTCAATCTCTCAGTATTGCATAATAATATTTATTTAAAATAAATATTTATTTATTTTAAAACAGGGTCTCATTAAGTTGCTTAGGGCCTTGGTGAGTCTCAGCATTGCATATAAATAGATAAAATAAAGGTCCACTGACAGCGTTTATTAAAACATAAAATTAGGGCTGGGGATGTGGCTCAAGCGGTAGCGCGCTGGCCTGGCATGCATGGGGCCCGGGTTCGATCCTCAGCACCACATACAAACAAAGATGTTGTGTCTGCCTATAACTAAAAAATAAATATTAAAATTCTCTCTCTCTCTCTCTCTCTGTCTCTCTCTCTCTCTCAAAAATAAAAAAATAAAAATAAAATAAGACATAAAATTAAAAACAATCTTAAAAAAAATAACAACATACAAAATAGGGGTGGGGTGTGCTCAGTTGTTGAGTGGCCCTGAGTTCAATCCATGGTACCCCGCCCCCATCCCCCCAAAAAAAAGAAGAAAAGAGAGAGAAAGAAACAATGTTTAATGAAAAAGCAGAATTTGGGGGCTGGAATTGTTGCTCAGTGGTAGAGCACTTGCCTAGTTCATGTGAGGCACTGGGTTTGATCCTCAGCACCACATAAAAATAAAGGTATTGCATCCATCTATAACTAAAAATATTTGTTAAAAAAATAAATAAAATTAATCAAATCATAACAGACATGAAGGTGCTTTATAAACTGTAGACTGTCATGCACACTTAGGTTTTTGGTAATGAAAGTAAGACTGTGTCTTGAAATATTCTTGAGATTTGTTTTAATCAGGTATAGTAAGGTGACAGACATGAAGACAACTGCCTTTTTTATGTGGGAGTGTATATTAGTATTAAACCCTGGAGCATTCTTGGTCTGAGTTACATTTCCAGTGCTCCACCTCCCCCCATCTTTTGTGTGTGTGTATGTGTGTGTGTGTGTGTGTGTTTTCTTGGCAGGCCCCAAATTTGGGATTCTCTCTCAGCCTCCTAAGTAGCAGGGACTACAGGTTTGTGATTCAACATTCTTTGCTCACTGCCAGACATCATAGTGCCTGACACATATAATAATAATGATCACATCTTGCATTTTCTATTTTATCTGTCATTGTTCATTGCCACCACAGCCTGCAAAACAACTGCCTTTGAAAGAGTTTATTATAGTTCCTGAGAATCGGGCATGCCGCACACAGTGTGTGTGTGGGGGGGTGTTACATAGGGAAGTAAGCAGAAGAAGGAATCAGAGGAAAAGTATGGCTCAGAGCCTTGTATTGTGGAAGGAATGGGTGAGGCAGTGGAGGCAAGCTTGATCAAGTTTGGGATTGGATAGTTTGAATAATTTTGGAGAGCTCTGGCCTAGGGGGCTGACCCTGTGTTTGGCCTTAAGGTGATCTAAGAAAGGGGAACTTTGTGTATGAGATTTACATAAAGGAAGATGTTTGCTATATAGGCTTTGGATTGATTAGGTTGCATATGAATGAAAGATGTGTTTCTAGGCAAGTTGTATGCTCCTCTAATTAACTATTAGCCTTGGGAAGGCAGGATTAGCTCTCAGATTAGCAGCAAGATTCCTAAAAAGTCAAAATTTTGTAAAATACAGAAAATTAAAAAAAAACATGATTAATATGTCTATTCTCAGTAATTATAACATCAATATGATTGGGAAAATGTATGTCATAAAATTGCGGCTGACATCAATTTTGTTTTCCTTTTGTAGGAAGAAGAGGAAGAGGAGGAATTAGTGGTAAGAGCTGTCTCAGGTTTGGACCCATCTCATAAAAGCATGAAAAACTGAGGACATTTTTGAATAACAGGGTGGAATAAAGCTTTAACACTACTTTGTAATGGAGTGTTTGGGAGTGTGTCTGGAAATTTGGTCTTGGGGCTTCTTTGGTCATACTAGGAAGCTGTGTGTGGTTTAATAAAGAACTCTGGAAGGAACTTTTCTGAAGGGTTCTCTGTGTTAGCATGGTCTTTCTAGCTGGGTAGCTGGGATGGAATAGGCCTGGTTCTCAGGCAAGGGAAATTGAAATTTTAGACATGACTTACACTAAAATGCTGTGTTAATGAGTAAAGCCTCCAATAGAGCTACTTCAAGTTTGGCCAGGTTTCCTTTACCACCTTGTTTTTCAGATAGGACTGAGGCTTTCAGTGCATACTGACAACCTTGGAAGGCAGGAATGTGAAACTTTTCCCTACTACTTAGCATCAGAATTGAATGGGAGACCCTATTTTGCCCTTTCTGGCAGCAGTGTGGCTCTGCCTGCTGGCCTTCTGCACGGTAATTCAGAGGCAGCACCTTGGTTTGGTGGTTATATTAGCAAAGCATGTGTGTTTGGTGTATCTCTCCTGTATCCTCCATTTTGTTCTCTCTCTCTCTCTCTCTCTCTCTCTCTCTGTCTTTCAGGATCCCCTAACAACAGTGAGAGAGCAATGCGAGCAGCTGGAGAAATGTATAAAGGCCCGGGAGCGCCTAGAGCTCTGTGATGAGCGTGTATCCTCCCGATCACAGACAGAAGAGGATTGCACAGAGGAGCTCTTTGACTTCTTGCATGCAAGGGACCACTGTGTAAGTCAGTTTGAAGTCAGGAAGTAGAAAGCTTACAATGGTCAGGGACACTTGGTGCTGACAGTCTTCCCAGATAGCAGTATGACAAGTACAATGCCAAGCATTTTATATAATCTTACCTAAATCATTACCACTTATACTGGAGATAGTTATCATTATGCCATTTTACAATAGAAGCTGAGACTCAAAAAAAAAAAAAAAATGATGGGGCTGGAGTTGTGGCTTAGAGGTAGAGCACTTGCCTGGCATATGTGAGGCCTTGGGTTCGATCTTCAGCACCACATATATGTTAACTAATTAATTAATTAATTAAAAATTGATATATTAATGTGTACTGCTACATAGTAAGAAAGCTGTTTTTTTTTTTTTTTGTTGTTGTTGTTGTAGTATTGGGGATCAAACCGAGGGCCTTTGCCTGCTTAGGCAAGTGTTCTACTACTGAATTATACCTGCAGTTCTGATTTTGTGCCCCCCCCCCATTACTGGGGACTGAATCTAAGGGTGCTTTACCACTGAACTATAACTGTAGCCCTTTTTATTTTTTAAGATAGGATCTCACTAAGTTGCCTAGGTTGGCCTTGAACTTGGGTCCTCCTGCCTTAACCTTCCAAGTAGCTAAGCTTACAGGCGTGCACCACCATGCCCATTGATTTTTGAACCCTTTTCCCTTTTTGGTAGGTGGGATTGAACCTGGGGCAATCAAAATTAACCACATCCTTAGTCCTTTATTTTTATTTGTATTTTTTGATACTGGGAATTGAATGCAGGGGCACTACACGACTGAACTACATCCCCAGTGCTTGCTTTCTTTCTTTTTTTTTTTTTTTTTAATATTTTTTAGTTGTTGATGGACCTTTATTTTATTCATTTATTCATATGTGGGCTGAGAATCAAACCTGGTGCCTCACACATGTAAGCCACAACCCCAGCCCTCTTTCTTTTTTTTTTAATATTTATTTTTTAGTTGTAGTTGGACACAATACCTTTATTTTATTTATTTTTGAGTGGTACTGAGGATGGAAGCCAGGGCCTTGCATGGAACCCAGGGCCCGTGCTAGGCAAGCACTCTACTGCTGAGCTACAACCCCAGCCCCCCAGTTCTTCCCCCCCCCCCACCCACCCTTTTTGAGTCAGCGTCTCACTAAGTTACTAGGGCTGGCCACAAACTTTGAATCCTCCTACCTCAGCCTCCTGAGTCACTGGGATTACAGGGTGTGCCATTGCAACTGGCTGTTTTGTACCCTAAAGTAACAGTCTGTTATTTATATCCTTCAATGTGTCTTGTACATAACAGTACATAGTAGTTGGTCATTTATTTATTTATTTTAAAAGCAGATTTGGGCTTGACTCTTTCTTATACAGAAAGGTATTTTAAGTAAATTGCAGGTAGGCAGTTTGATATGGTTGCTTCTATTAAAACTGACTGGGCCGGGCACGGTGGTGCCTGCCTAACTCCAGTGGCTCGGAAGGCTGAGATAGGAGGATCATGAGTTCAAAGCCAGCCTTAGCAAAAACGAGGCACTAAGCAACTCAGTGAGACCCTGTCTCTAAATAAAATACAAAATAGGGCTCATGTTGAGTGCCCCTGAGTTCAATCCACAGTACCCCGCCCTCCCCTCGACACACAAAAACTGACTGGGTGGTCAGTAGGTATATGAAAAGATGTTCGACATGGCCTGTGGTGCAGCTCAGAGGTATATTGCTTAGCATGTTAGATGCCCTGGGTTAAATCCCTAGCAGCAAAAAAAAAAAAAAAATGATGATTAACATCATTAGCCTTTAGGGAAATGCAAATCAGAGGGCTAGGGGTATATAGCTCAATGGTAGAGCACTCATTTAGCATGTACAAAGCCCTGGGTTTAATCCTTACCACTGCAAAACTAGAACAAAACAAAAAAATGAACATACAAAGTAACAAGCATTGGAGTGGATGTGGAGAAATTAGAAACCTAATACACTGCTGGTGGCAATGTAAATTTTGTAGCCAGTCTGGCAATTCCTCTTAAAAAAAGAAAACTGACACATGCTACAATATGCCTGAACTTTGAAGACATTATGACAAATGAAATAATTGTATCATAAAAGACAAATATTTTTGCCAGGTGCAGTGGTGCATGCCTGTAATCCCAGCAACTTCAGATGCTGAGGCAGGAAGAGTTTGAGTTCAAACCCAGCCTTTGGGGGCTGGGGTTGTGGCTCAGTGGTAGATTTTTCATCTAGAATGCATGAGGCACTAAGTTCAATCCTCTGCACCACATAAATATAAATAATATTGTGTCCCCATAAAACTAAAAAAAAAAAAAAAAAAAAAAACAACCCAGTCTCAGCAACTTAGCAAGGCCCTAAGCAACTGAGCGAGACCCTGTCTCAAAATATTTTCAAAAAGGGGATGTGGCTTGGGTGGTTAAGTGCCCCTGGGTTCAATGCCTAGTACCAAAAAAAAAAAAAAGATTTTATCATTCCACTGTGGTAACTAAGGTATCACATTCACAGAGACAGAAAATAAAGGGTGGTAGACAAGATCTGTGAGGAGGGAAAATATAGAGTTATGTTTAATGAGTAGAATTCCAGTTTGGGAAAATTTAAAGGTTATGGAGCTCATTGGTTGCAGAACAGTGTACCTGTACTTAATGCCAGAGGAATGCATTTTTACCACAGTTTTTTTAAAAAATGAAGTACTGAACATGCTACAACATAGATAAATCTAGGAAAGATTATAACCTCAGAATGGTATTCACTGACGACATCCCCCCCCCCACTTTCAAACTGTCTCACCTCACACCCTTTCCCCATTTTATTTTCCTTGTAACATTTACCACTATCAGAAGCTGCCTTATTTATGTGCTCATTATATTCCCTCATTACTCTATGTTCTGTAAACAACAGAGACATGGTGTTTTGTTAAGTTAGAACTTAGAACAATACCTATCATAGAGTAGGTGTTCTATAAATCTTTGTTGAATTATAAGTAAATATTATCATTGGGATAGGAAGTATGAGTTTCTGTGAGGAAGGCAGGAGGGGCAGATTTGTGTGGTGTTAGGGGCTTTATTTAGGTCCTTGCAGGAAATGACATGCCAGTTCTAAAGAATAAAGATGAAAAAAAGTGGGAGGATTCCAGATAGAAGGGATCAACTGAGGCAACTGAAGGGAGTTCATTATCTCAGTTATATAAAGGGAATGATGAGAAAGGAGTCAGTATTATTCCAGGTCATGAAGGACCTTCCTTGCAAGCCATGACATTAAAACTGCCAACTGATAACTTTCTGTTCTTTCCATCTAGGTGGCCCACAAACTGTTTAATAGCTTGAAATAAATGTGCATTCTCAATCACTGCAGCCTTCATCACGGGGCATCAGGATATTTCCTTGTGGTTTTGAACATGCATTTGTTTTCTAATTTGTATAACCGTAAGTTCATGTGAATCTCATGGATTTTGGCTTTAGGCAAGTAGCATCTGTATAACTGATTTCGTTTTAATAAAAATCCTATGATCTGCAGACCTGCCTCATGTCCTTTTTTCAAAATTTAGTGTTTATTTTTTCCCCAGTGCAGAAATACTTACTTTTTTTTTTCTTTTTCTTGCAGTGCTAGGCTTTTAAACTCAGTGCTTTTTACATGCTAGGCAAGTGCTCTGCTAGCAAGCTACCTCCCTAATTTAGATTTTTTTTTTTTTTTTGAGATTGAACCCAGGGGCAGTTAACCACTAAGCCACATCACCAACCCTTTTATATATTTTATTTATTTATTATTTTTTTATATTTATTTTTTTGGTGTAGATGGACACAACACATGCCTTTATTTTATTTTTTTATGTGGTGCTGAGGATCCAACCCGGGTCCTGTCCGTGCTAGGCGAGCGCTCTACCGCTGAGCCACAATCCCAGCCTCTATATATTTTATTTAGAAACAGGTCTTGCTGAGTTGCTTAGAGCCTTGCTAAGTTGCTAAGGCTGGCTTTGAACTTGTAATCCTCCTGCCTCAGCCTCCCATGCTGCTGAGAGTACAGGTGTGCACCACCACACCTGCAGAATTTTTTTTTTTTTTTAATTTTTAACTACATTAAAAGAGAATAATCAACCCTCATGTACCCATCACCTACCATGTATCTCCTTAGTGATACTTTGTCACAAATAGTAATTGCTCAATATTAAAATTCTTGTTCATACAAAAGTTTCTCTTATCTCAAATCTTTTGAGAGCTTTTTGTTTTGTTTTTTTGGTACTGGGGACAGAACTGAGGGGTGCTCAGCCATGAGCCACATCCCTAGCCCTTTTCTTTTTCATTTTAAAACAGGGTCTCATTAAGTTGCTTAGGGCCTTGGTGAGTTGCTGAGGCTAGCTTTGAACTTGTAATCCTCTTCCCTCAGCCTCCTGAGTTGTGGGCGTCACTGCCACCTGGATTTTGATAGCATTTTGGTTTTAGTGTCTAACGAGGCTACTTTTTTTTTTAAGAGAGAATTTTTTAATATTTATTTTTCTGTTTTTGGCGGACACAACATCTTTGTATGTGGTGCTGAGGATCGAACCCGGGCCGCATGCATGCCAGGCGAGCACGCTACTGCTTGAGCCACATCCCCAGCCCTAACAAGGCTACTTTTTAAAAAAATTTTTTAGTTGTCAATGGACCTTTATTTTATTTATTTATATGTGGTGCTGAGAATTAAACCCAGTGCTCACACATGCTAGGCAATTGATCTACCACTGAGCCACAACCCCAGCCCCACAAGGTTACTTTTAAAAAAAAATCTTTTTCAGTTGGCTGTAGTACCACATTCCCATAATCCAGCTATTTGGAAAGCTGAAATAGGATTGCAAGTTCAAGGCTAGCCTGGGCAACTTAGTAAGACCCTGTTTCAAAAAAATAAAAAGGGCTGGAGATGTAGCTCAGTGGTAGAACACCCTTGGGTTCATTCCCTAGCACTTAACAAGGAGAGTAAAGAGGTTATGGGAGGAGGGTTACTGGCATCCAATCGGATGAGAAAAGGCACCTGGGTTAATTGGAAAAGGACAAAACCCTGTGGTATTGATAGGAAGTAAAAATAATAGATTTATTTAGTGAATAAATACAGATGCAAGTATGTGTATATGTAGGGAATATATAGATTCCTTATCTCTGTCCACAAAAAGGGCTTCATTCTCCAATAAAAGGAACCAAGGCTTTTTGGAAGAATGGGTGAACCGGTGATTCCAGGGCTGAGACAAGGAAAGTACAAATGAATATTTTGTTCCAGGAAGAACAAAATAGAATAGGGAAGGGTCTGTCAAAGGTACACAGAAACCATTAGCCAAATCTAGACAGTATGAGCATCAAATATACAAAGATTACTGGATTATAACCTGTTGAAGAAAAGTCCATTAATCCATAAATATGCAAATAATTAAATTGGTTGTAAGTTTTGGTGTGGAAGGGGATACTAATGAATTATAAAAGGAGAAAGTAAACTGGAGAAACCTGGCAAATAGCTTACATGAAAGCTGACAAAGGTCATTCTACAAAATTGGGCATTTTACAAAATAATCCTTAACTTTTGTCAAGGTTTTGAAGGTCAAGAAAAAACTGAAGAACTATTAGATTCAAAGAGATAAAATGATAATGCAAGTGAATCTGAACTGAATCCTTTTGTTTTTAAGGACAGTTTTGGGACAACTGAATATTGGATGGCAGTGAGTATGTTAAAGTTTTAATTATTACAAATTAAAAAACCCTCAGGCACAGTGGTGTACACCTGTAATCCCAATATCTCAGGAAGCTGAAGCAGGAAGATCACAAGCTTGAGGCCAGCCTAGACAAATTAGTGAGCTCCTACCTCAAAATAAAAATTAAAAAGGGCTAGGGAGGCCAGGTGTGGTGGTGTACACCTGTAATCCCAGCAGCTCAGGAGGCAGAGGCAGGAGGATGGCAATGCAAGTTCGAAGCCAGCCTCAGTAATTTAGTGATACCCAACTCAAAATAGAAAATAAAAAGGGGTGGGGATGTAGCTCAGTGGTGGTGTCGCTCTGGGAGTAACCCCCAGTACTGAGCAAAAAGAAAAAATGTTAAAAAGAAGTTTTGCAGGGGCTGGGGTTGTAGCTCAGTGGTGGAGCGCTTGCCTAGAATTTGTGAGGCACTGGGTTCAATTCTCAGCACCACATATAAATAACTAAAATAAAGGTACATTGACAAAAAATATAAAAAATATTTTTTTTTAAAAAAATGAAGTTTTGTGCTGGGGATGTGGCTCAAGTGGTAGCGCGCTCGCCTGGCATGCGTGCGGCCCGGGTTCGATCCTCAGCACTACATACAAACAAAACAAAACAAAGATGTTGTGTCCGCCGATAACTAAAAAATAAAATATTAAAATAAAAAAAATAAATAAATAAAAATAAAATAAAAAATGAAGTTTTGCAGAAAAAAGAAACTTAAGATACCAAATGGAAACTTATTTATACGAAGGAATATACGGTCTCAGAAATAGCAAATATATGGGTAAACATAATAGATATTAGATCTTATTATTTATTTTTGGTACCAGGGATTGAACCCAGGGGTGTTTAACCACTAAGCCATATCCCCAGCCCTTTTTATTTTTTATTTTGAGACAGGGTCTTGCTAAGTTGCATAAGGGCACTGCTAAATTGCTGAGGCTAGCTTTGAATCTGAGATCCTCTCTCAGCCTCCTGGGTTGCTGGGATTACAGGTATGTGCCACCATACCCAGCTGGATCTTATTTTGTTGGGGTTGTAACTCAGTGGTAGAGTACTTGCCTGGCACATGTAAGGCACTTGGGTTTGATCCTCAGCACCACATAAAAATAAACAAACAAAAAGATTCGTTTAAAAGATACATTATTTAAAAAAAAAAGAAGAAAAGAAATAAAAATGACTGAAGACGTGGCTCAGTGACTCAGTGCCCCTGGGTTCAATCCCTGGTAGCAAAAAAAAAGGGGGGAGAATAATACACTAGTTATCAATATCAGTAATGATATCCTATAAACTTAGAAGTCAGTGATATTTTTCTCCAGAAAGCAAATACGTTTGGCTTTGTGGGCCATACAGTCTCTGGAAATAAGTACAGTAGTTCTCCCTAATCCACCGTTTTGCTTTCTATAATTTCAGGTAACCACAGTCAACCATGGTCTGTAGATCTTAAATGGAAAATTCCAGAAATAAATTCATAAGTTTTACTTTTTTATTTTTATTATTTTGTGACACTGGAGATTGAACCTAGGGGTGTGATATACATCACTATCCCTTTTTTTGGCGGGGGCAGTATAGAGCTTGAACTCAGGCACTCAACCACTGAGCCACATCCCCAGTCCTATTTTGTTTTATTTAAAGACGGTATGAGTTGCTTAGCACCTCACTTAATGCTGAGGCTGGCTTCATACTCGTGATCCTCCTGTCTCAGCCTCCTGAGCTGCTGGGATTACAGGCCTGTACACTACTCTTGGCCATCACTAGGCCCTTTTAAAATATTTTTTAAATTTTGAGACATGATCTCAGTAAATTGCCAAGGCTGACCTTGAATTTGGGGTCCTTCTGCCTTATCCTGGGATTACAAGCATGTGCCACTGCACCTGCCATGTTTTAAATTGCAGGTCATGGGCTGGAGGTATAGCCTACTGGTAGAGCACTTGTCTGGAATGTGCAAGGCTCTGAGTTTGATCTCCAGCAGCACACACACTCAATTCAAAATGTCAAAACTGGTGCAAGAATAATAAGAATATTTTGCTGGGTTGTGGAGAGCCATTCTCACACGTGACTGGGCGACTCCCAGTTTGGGTCTGAGGCGCTCTGACTAATCTGTGTCGGAGCTTTCCCGGCCCTCTCCTGATGAGAGAACCCGTCCGTGTGGGGGTGTGACTGACCACTGACCCCGGGGGCCAATCACTGACCCTGAGCTTGGAGTGCGGCCCCCCTCAACCTTCATTGGATGGAATTCTCCCCTGAATTTCTTGTTCCCCAATAAAAGGTTACTCCCTGGCGTGCTCGCTCTCTCTCTCTCCTGCTAGCCCTGAGTAATCCTTGCTGCCCTATGGTGGTTCGAGGTTGGAGCCAGAGAGGGGAGCTGTCTTGGACCTGGTCATAGAAAAAGGTAACTGAGTCTGTGTGTTTTATTTCGATCTCGCTAGTTAACTTTTATGCCAAGAACCTCATTAATGAAACCAATGCGCTGGCCGAATGGTGGACTGGGTGTGGTATTGCCTACCTGTAATCCCAGTGGTTTGGGAAACTGAAGATAGCAAGTTCAAGGTCGGATTCAGCAATTTAGCAAGCCCCCAAGTAATGAGACCCTGGTGTTTAAAAAAAAAAAAAAGGGTTAGGGATGTAGCTCAATAGTAAAGAGCCCCTGGGTTCAATCCCTTCTACCTGCCCACACCCTACACTGCCCTCACCCTGTCCCCCCTCCCCACAAAGAGTTGTTTATTTATTTTGGTATCAGGGACTGAACCCAGGAGTGCTTAACCACTGGGCCACATCTCTGGGCCTTTTAATGTTTTATTTTGAGACAGGGTCTCTTAAGTTACTTAGGGCCTTGTTAAGTTGCTGAGGCTGGCTTTGAACTTTCAATCCTCCTACCTCACCCTCCTGAGCTGCTGGGATTATAGGCATGTACCACCCTGCCCAGCAAGAATCAAAACTTTAAAAAGCACTATTCTCAACCTAAGCACACTTGACAATGTGGGTTGGATTATTCTTTGTTGTGGGCAGGGCTGTCTGGTGTGTTGTAGAGTGTTTAGCAGTGTTGTTAGATGCCAGATGCCAGAAGCACCAGTTTTAACAACCCAAAATGTCATCAGGTGTGATCATATGTTCTCTGAGGGAAAGTCAAAATCACTTCAGTTTGAGAACCACTGCCCTGTATCAACTGAAGAAACTGAATAATTAAAAAAATTTCCATTTCTTCATATCTCATCGTCCCCCTAAAGAAAAACAACAAAAACAATAACAAAAAAGCAAACTTCTAACTTCAGGCCCAGATGGCTCTACTATTGAATTCTATCCATCTTTTAAGGATGAAATAATGCCAATCATATGCAAATTCTTTCTGAAGTTGGGACACTTCCTAAATTCATTTTATGAAGCTGACATTACTGTGATGACAAAATCAAAGATATTACTAGGAGAAAAAACTGCAGACAAATATCCTTCATAAACTCAGATGTGAGAATTTAATATATGAAAATAATATGTCCTGAACTAATTTCAAAACTACACTAAGATTTCATCTCACTCCAGTCAGAATGGCAATCATCAAGAATACAGGCAACAATAAATGTTGGTGAGGATGTGGGGGAAAAGGTACACTCATACATTGCTGGTAGCACTGCAAATTGGTACAACCACTATAAAAAGCACTATGGAGATTCCTCAGAAAACTTGGAATGGAATCACCATTTGACCCAGTTATCCCACTCCTCAGTTTATACCCAAAGGACTTAAAGTCAGCATACTACAGTAAAGCAGTCACATCAATGTTTATGGCAGCTCAATTCACAATAGCTAAACTATGGAACCAACCTAGGTGCCCTTCAACTGTAGATGAATGGAAAAAGAAAATGTGGTATATATATTCAATGGAATTACTCAGCTTTAAATAAGAATGAAATTATGGCATTTACCAGTAAATGGAGTTGGAGAATATCATGCTAATCGAAATAAGCCAATCCCAAAAAACCAAAGGCTGAATGTTTGCTCTAATATGCCACTGCTAATTCACAATAAGGGTGGTGGGGCATTAGAAAAGAATAGAGTTACCTTAGATGAGGTAGAGGGAAGTAAAGGGAGGGGAGGGGATGTGGGGATAGGAAGGATAGTAGAAAGAAATAGACATTATTACTTTATGTATATAGGTGACTGCATGACCAATGTGATTCTACAAACTGCACACTCAGAAAAATAATAAGTTATATCCCATCTATGTATGATATATCAAAGTGTATAAATGCATTCTACTGTCATGTATAACTAATTAAAATGAATTAAGTTTTTTAAAAAGCAGCCAATATGATGCCAGACAAGGTGGGACACATCTATAATCCCAGTGACTTGGGAGGTTGAGGCATGAGGAGAGGAAGGTAAAGACCAGCCTGGTCAACTTTCTTTTTTTATATTTATTTTTAAATTGTAGTTGGACAAATATCTTTATTTTATTTATTTATTTTTATGTGGTGCTGAGGATCGAACCTAGGGCCTCACACTTGCTAGGTGAGCACTCTACCACTGAGCCACAAACCCAGCCCAGCCTGGTGAACTTGATAAGACCCTGTCCCAAAATTAAAAAGACAAGAGATCTAGTTTAGAGGTAACACTTGAAGAAAATCAACAATCATTCATGATTTTTTTTTCATTTATGATTTTTAAAAATCTCAGTAGACTAGGAATAAAAGGGAACTCCTCAACCTAGTAAAGGATACACACACACACACAACTATAGCTAACATTTAATGGTGAAATACTTGAAGGCATAATGGCTAAGAATGGGAACAACACAGGAATATTTCCACCACCATTTTTATTCAGCAGTGTACTGGAAATCCTAATCAGTGGAATAAAGCAAAGAAAAGAGAGAGAGAGAGAGAGAGAGAGAGAGAGAGAGAGAGAGAGAGAGAGAGACATAGACATATGGAAAATAAATGTTCTTATTTACAAAAGACATTTAAAAAAGCCTGAAGCAGGGGCCAGGGTTGTGGCTCAGTGGTAGAGCACTTGCTTAGCACATGTGAGGCACTGGGTTCAATCCCCTGCATCACATAAAAATAAACATATAAAATAAAGGTATTGTGTCCAAAATCTAAAGAGATTTCCAAAAAAGTTAGTACCAAGTTAATTTCCAAAAGTAATGATCGAATTTTGCATCAGGATACAAGATCAATACACAAAATCAAATCAATTAAACTTTAATATGCTAGAATTTCTTGGCAAATGAACAAAGTGAGCCTGTCACTTCAAGCAAAATAATTCACTGTATTTGTTCCCAGTAATAAAACAAATTTTCAAACAAAAATTAGGATTTTTGAAAAATTTGTATCCACTGTTGTAAGCTTAAAAGTTTCCTAACATTTGGAGCTGGGGTTGTGGCTCAGCGGTAGAGTGCTTGCCTAGCATGTGCGATGTCCTGGGTTTGATCCTCAGCACTACATAAAAATAAATAAATAAAACAAAGGTATTGAGTCCAACTACAATTAAAAAATAAATATCTTAAATTTCCTTGGGCTGGGGATGTGGCTCAAGTGGTAGCGCGCTCGCCTGGCATGCGCGGGGTGGGGGTGGGGGGCTGGGTTCGATCCCCAATACCACATAAAAACAAAAAATAAAGATATTGTATCCACCTAAATACTAAAAAAATAAAAAATTTTTAAAAATTTCCTAACATTTAATCATTTTTGTGATACATTAGTGATATTAACATATATGTTTTTTTTTTTTTAAAGATGAATCTGGTCTAGAAATTGTATGGGTTTAAGTGATCTTCTGGCCTCAGCCTCTCAAGTTGCTGGGACTACAGATGTGTGCCACGGTACCCCATCAAATATTATTTTGGCTGTATTAGAGATCAACCTAGTCAGTGTCTCACGAACGCTAGGCAAGCTCTCTACCACTAAGTTACATCCCCAGTCTTTTTTTCTTCTGCTACTGGGAATATGAACTCAGGGCTTCCCTCATCCTAGGCAAACTAATACAGAGCCACAACCATAGCCCTTTATTTATTGGTACCGCGGATTGAACTCAGGAGCACTTAATCGCTGAGCTATATGCCCAATCCTTTATTTTATTTTGAGACAGGTCGCGCTGAATTGCGTAGGGCCTTGATAAATTGCTGGGCTTGCCTCAAATTTGCGCTCCTCCCGTCTCAGGCTCCCAAGTCGCTGCGATTACTTGCGTCGCCACAGCGCCCAATTCCTTCCTGCGCCTTTTTTTCCTCCTAACTTCAAAACTCAATCACCAACTCCCGGTTCTCTCTAATCCTCTAAATGGGTTAAGAGCCTTTTCGGAGTCTTTAGCACTGCTCCAAGGATCTAGGCCGAGCCAACATTACGAGGGCCAAGTTGCTCTTTTCTAGTACGCCTCTGGCCTAGCGCGATTTGACTTGGCATTTAGAGGTGGGCGGAACCCTGGGAGAGAGTCAATTCCCTTCCCCTTTCCTTCTCCTACCCTTCAAAGTAGCGCACATCATTTCCCCGGAACCCAAGGAACGGTAGCTGCAGTTCCGGTCGGATTTACCAGGCGACGCACGCTGATATGGCTGCGCCAATACTGAGGGGCGTCCGGGAGCTGCTGAAGCATGCGAACTTCGCGCCGGTCCCGAGAAGACATCGACATAAGAAGAAGTGGGTAAGGTCTGGGCGGGGTCTCAGCGGGGAAGCTTTTCAGCTTCTGCATTTCTTAGACGCCTCAGGTGAATTCGATATGCCAGTCCCATTAGAACCCCTGGGCCGCTTTCTCTCCGCCCTTCAGGGAGCGTCAACGCCTCACGTCTGTTACGTCACTCCCCCTGTCTGCCTTTTATTCGTCACAAATCTTGGACTCTTTTTCGTGTTAACGTAGTAGTGTCCCGACTCCGCCTCTCTAAGTTACGTCATCATCTCCGCCCTCATTCTTTCCGTTATGTCACCATCTTTTCTCTCCTGTGCTTACCTTTCCCTGGGCCCTCATTACCCCCTCCTCTTCCCTTCCTCTTCCCTTCCTCTCCCCTTCCTCTCCCCCATCCCTCACCCTTTCCTCCCTTTTTTTCCCCCCTCCCTCCATGACTTCTAATCCTCCTTTCCTTCTTGAACTTTCAACTGGGTTGACCTCACCCTTCGAAAAACGTACTAACGATTTCCCTCCCCCTCCTGGGTGTCCGTTGCCCTGCGGGAAAAGATTGAGCCCCCTCCTCACCCTCGAGCTGCCTCAGGCGTCCAAAACAGGTTACAGCGACCACCATAACCAAACTGTGGGTCCTTCCCCAAATGCAGGCAAAAGGTGCAAAAACCCCCCTCCCCCCAAAGACCCTTGCTCTTGCTTCACCGGCATGTCCCCCAGCTTACCTCCTCGGATCTCTTCCCCGCCCCCACCACCTCCCTCCCCACCCCCACAGGAGAGATGTTCTTTTGAACCCTGTTCTTCCCCACACGTTGGAAGGCCGTACTGCCACGGGCCCAGACACTCTAGTTCATCTCCTACAAACCCACGTTTTGACCGGTTCGGCTTTCCGGAGTCACCCTCTGTCCGTCAGCGGAGCACGGTTTGCAGCTGGATCAATTCCCCAAGAAAGCAGCATCCTTGTCCTCCAAGTCCTTACTTTGAGCAGCAACCTTACCACTGTTGCTGCGGTCAGGTGACCTCTCCTGTCACTCATCAGGCCCCAGGAACCAGCCCGGTGACCTCTCCTCAACTCACTCATGTTTGCTTAGAAACTGGCCCCTTGATTTCACCTCCCTTTATTCAGGGTTCCCAGGGAACTTGTCCCATAATTTCACCTCCTCTTACTCATAGGCCCCCAGGAACTAGCCTCATAATTTCATCTCCCCTTGTTCACCGGCCCATGAAAACTAGACCTATATTTTCTCCAATCATTTCTCATAAGGTTTTGGAAATTGGGACCATGACTTCCCCTCTCCTTTCTCACTGGTCCTCAGGGAGAAGTTATAATGACCCTCCTCTTTCCCCAGCATCTTCCCCAGCTACTGGCAGCCTTTATCAGGGCCACCTTAAGCTTCCAGATTCTTGTGAACCCAAACCACAGCTTGACCAGTCCATTGGGAAAAATTGTGGCTGCCAACTTTCTTCTCAGGCAGGCATGTCTGGCTCTCCTAACTCACCTGAGGAGGGCTCTTTTCATCTTCCCCCAGAGGCCCACATATCTGCCCCTGGGACCGCTTACTGTGCCATACACCTATCTCCTGAGAGTAAGGGTTCTCCTTGTTCACCTCAGTCTCAGGTTTCCGGGAAGCCTTGCTTTGATCCCCTTCTCTCCTGGGAGACTGACCAGAGCTCTTACCTCTTTGTAACCCCAGGCACTGTGATTTCTGGTCCTCCCTGTCCTCCAGAATCGTCTCTTCCCCAGTGTCCCTATTCTGGCCTGTGCTATTCTTCACACTTGGGCAACCAGTTTATAGCTCCACCCCAGTCAGCCCCCCGCAGAAGCTATAATGAACCTCCTCTCCCTACCCCAGTTTCCCCACAAATGAAGTCCCCCAAATTCTCAGATTTAAGACAGCAGCATATTCTCCACAAATGTCACTCCCTAGTTAACACTCCCCAGCACACTTCTGGCCATCCCAAGCCCTCTGAGGCTGGCACCTCTCCTCTGCCTCCCTCCTGCTTCTCTGGTCCTCGTGTGGAGCCATCTGTCACAACTCCTTTAAATTCTTGCCCAAAAGAACTTCCCCCAGGAACTGCCTTACCTGCTATGTGCCCTGGAATCGTCAAAACTATTGTCCCTACTTCCCTTCCCCTTTGCCTTCCTTGTGATCCTGTCATACCCAATAGTTATCCTAAGAGCAATGCTCATCGACCTCCCTTAGTTCCCCCCTGCAATACCCACCTATACTCTATGGTTCCCACCACCTCCCATCCCTGCCAACTTCCTGGTTCCCTCAATCGCTCTACAGTTCCTCCCTGTGGCACCTATGGCACTCCCAGGGGTCCACCTGTACTCCACTGCAAGCCTGTGGCGCCTCCTTGTTCTACCCATATCTATTCTTTTATCCCTCTGAGAACACCCTTTGACCCCCAGTCTTTACCCATTATTCCCCGAGCTCGGCCCTATCCTGATACTATCCCCTGTGGCCTTCATAACTATTCTGTGGCCTCTCAAGGCCCCTCCAGAATGCCACTCCAGATCCCCTACAGCTGTCCTTTGCCTTCACCCAAGAACTCTATCTGTAGCAATGATCCCAGCTGTAGTTCATCCATTGTTACCAGTGAAAGTCATGTTAATGAGAGCAACAACAGGACTGTCTCCAAAAAAAAAAAGTAATATCAAGAGTCCAAAGCATAGTGAAAGTGGGAGCCAGAGCTCGAGTCTGTACCATAGCAGAAGTCGGAGCCAGAGTCCACAAGATAACAGAAATCAGAGCCGGGGTCAAAGTAAAGTAGAGGACGAGACTGAGAGTCCCCAGGTTGACAGCAGTCAGGACCAGAGCAAGAGTTCCGACCATGGTCGAAGTCGGAAAAAGAGCAAGAGTCCCCGTAATGGTAAAAGTCAGGGCAGGAGCAAGAGTCCCCAAAACAAGAAGAAAGGTCAGGGTCGGAACAAGAGTCCCCGCACTAACAAAACCTAAGGGCCAAGTCAGAAGACTGGTAACAAGACAGACTACCAGCGATAACAAGTATTCCATCTGCAGCAACCAGGACCAACTTGTGGACTCCTCATCTGAAGTCTTCATTTGCCTTTTAATCTACCTTTATTTTCTTCAAACCTGACTTATGTCCCTCACTGCTGTCCCCATAGCAGTCATCCTAGAAGTCTCTATCTTGATTCATATCTCAAGGTTCTGTGAACTCTCCTTATCCTACCCTTCTTAGAGTCTGGGAACTCTCCCCAAATTACCCTCAACACTTTGGTTCAGAGCATTATGATTCCAGACACTGCATAATCTTTGGTAAGTTACTATCATCTCTTCATCAGTTGTGGAAAGTTATTATTATTATTTTTTTTTGTATTTTCCGTAGGGCTACTATTGTTGTATTCAGGTAAGCTAGTAGACATAACAGACTTTAGAAAGTAGAAGGGCTGTTTAGAGGAAAAGTGTCTTGATTTTAAACCCAAAGCCTTCCCAGGACCACCATAGTTTATTTCAGAAATAAATACTGTAGTGCCCTTAATCCATGGTTTTGCTTTCCATAATTTCAGGTAACCACAGGCAACCATGGTCTGAAGATCTTAAGTGGAAAATTCCAAAAATAACTTCATAAGTTTTATTTTTTAGTTTTTATTATTTTGTGGCACTGGAGCTTGAACCCAGGGGGGTCTTAGGCTGGGGTGAAGCTCAACATTAGAGTACTTGCATAGCATGCTCAATGCCCTGAGTTCAATCCCCACCACTGCAGGTGGAGATGGGGGCCAGTCTGGAGTTAAGAGGAATTTAAGAGAATGGTCATTCAAGAGAGGACTCTTGAACAGAGCCAGTAGAAGTTTGGATCAGTGGTTAAGGACCCTTGGGTTCAATCCCCAGAAACAAAAAGACCGACATATGGTGAGAGCTAGAGATTCCTTTGCTTCCTTTCATAGACCTAAGATAGGAAGGCCAATTCCTTACCATTTTTCTCTCTTATACTTCTTTGTTAGGTAGAGGCAGATGCAAAGGTGGGAGTGGATACTAACTGGATCAAAGTTTGCCCCTGAGCTCTGAGATACTGGTGGGGTCAGACAGTAGGGAATAGAGGCAAGACTGGGAAGACTGCCCTTTCTCTTTTAGGCAGCAACAGAGCCCAAATTCCCTGCCAGCCAGCTTGCTCTGCAGAATTTTGACATGACCTACAGTGTGCAGTTTGGGGATCTTTGGCCATCGATTCGTGTCAGTCTTCTCTCAGAACAGAAGTATGGTGCACTTGTCAATAATTTTGCTGCTTGGGACCATGTGAGTGCTAAGCTGGAGCAGCTGAGTGCCAGGGACTTTGTGAGTGATGCCATCTCCTGCTGGGAATTGGAGCCTGAGAATGGCCACTCTGCAACCCTGTCCCCAGCCTGCAGTCCAAATCTTCGATGCTTTACTTTTGCCAGAGGAGATGTCAGCCGCTTCCCTTCTGCCAGGTAGGATCTGGAGCCATGACTGGGATTGCCCTACCAGAGGTAGAATGAAGGTTCCCAACTTCTGCCCTCTGTGATACGGATCATAATATTGCTAATTTTCTGGTGTGCTAATTGCTATTCATAATGTTATTCCGTTTTGTTCTGTCAACAGCTTGATGAAATAGGTAAATTATTACTCCTCTTTTACATTTGAGGAAACTGAGGTGCAGAGAAGTTAAATTACTTACTTCGTTTAGCTTCTTTGATAAGGTTAGTATGTAGACCCAGGTAACCTGCTCCACTGCCTTCTATAGGAAACAACCACCTCTTACATGAGCATTCACTGCACCCTGTCCAGTTAAAAAGCTTGTTATTCACAGCTGATTTTGCCCTCACAGCCACCCTTCAAAGTAAGTAGGACAAATAATCTTAGATACCAAAGAGGAAGTGGATTTTCCTAAGAAATGGACTCTGCCTAAGGGCACAAGTTAGTGATAGACCTGGAAAAAGAAAAAAATTTACAGTCTCTTGATCCATTACTCATATATATGAAGTTGAATGAGAAAAGACTCCAGAATCAAGTGCTGATTGTGTGTTGAGAAAAGGAGAAAAGGAGAGCTCAGTGTTATAGGATGTGGAAATTGATCTTTGAATGATTGATTGATTCATTCAATAAATATTTATTTTCTACCAAATACCAGGCATATAAGTGCCTTGGTTACTAGTACACAAACCATCAGGGAGCTTCCGGTATGGCAAGGAAGACAACTATTAAAAATTTCTTTATGGGCTGGGGATGTGGCTCAAGCGGTAGCATGCTTTCCTGGCATGCGTGCGGCCCGGGTTCAATCCTCAGCACCACATACAAAGATGTTGTGGACGCCAAAAACTAAAAAAATAAATATTAAAAAAATTCTCTCTCTCTCTCTCTTTAAAAAAAATGAATATTAAAATCTTTTTTAAAAAAATCTCTATGCCAAGTGTGGTGGGACATGCCTATAATCCCAGTGACTTGAGAGGCTGAGGCAGGAAGATTGCAAGTTCAAGATCAACCTCAGCAGTTTAGTGAGGCCCTAAACAACTTAGTAAGATCCTGTCTCAAAAAATAAAAAATGGGCTGGGCATGTAACTAGTGGTAAAGTGCCTCTAGGTTTAATCCCCAGTATCAAAAACAAATAGTTTGTGCTGGGCACTGTGGCACATGCCTGTGATCCTAGTTACTTGGAAGCCTGAGGCAGAAGGATTTCAAGTTTGAGGCCAGTCTGGTTAACTTAGTCTGTTTTTCAAAATAAAACAACTGGTAGAGCACCATTGGGTTAAATTCTTAGTCTTGCCCCACTGCCCTCCAAAATCCTGTTAGGTCCTATGATGAGAAGATCTAACCAAATGTTTTCTAAGGAAGTAAAATTTAAGCTAAGACCTGAACATTGGGGTGAGAGGTGAAATAAGAGGCTATAGAAGCAGGCAGGAGGCAGATTATAAAGATTTTAAAGGCCATGTGAAATTCTGGACTTTTTCTCTAAGAGGAAACTCTGAAAGAGTTTAACCTGGGGAATGACATGACCAGATTTGAAATTTTAAAATATTACTCTGGTTGTAGCATTGAAAGATTGAAGGTGGTCAAGGGTAGAAATAGAGATATAAATTAGCAATTGTCCTTGTTACGGCTTGAGAGAAGGCTGAATGCTTGAGAAAAGTGAACAGTGAGACTGGAAAAGTATATCTGGAGGGGTGTGTGGGAGAACCTCTACTGTCTACAGCTTACATTATAAGGAAAAGGGATTTATCTGATAGCTCAGGGTTGCTGGCCAATAGTTGGGATTGCCAGAGCTGAACTGGATTTGATTCTGACTTCACCACTTATTAGACCTGTGACCTTGGATAACTGAGCCTTGGCTTCCTGTATTACTAGATAACACTATAGCTCATTAGGTGCTAGCCACTGTTCTAAATTTTTTTTTTTTTCAAAGTTGCCGAGATCCTCCTGCCTTAGCCTCTTGAGTTGCTGGGATTACAGGCATGTGCCACTGTACCCAGTTCTAAGTTCTTAATTTATATTACTTCCTTTAATTCTCATAATAACCCTATCTGACAGGTACTTTATTGTAGATAGGAATAACTAAGGTACAGAGAAGTTGAGTAATTTGCCGAAAGTCACACAACTAATGAGCAACTTGGCCGAGTTTGAAATCCAGACAGTCTGACTTTGGAATCAAGCTTTACCTGTGTTACCGGGTCGTGGTGAGGATTAAATGAAATTATGCATATTAAGCATCTAGCATAGTGTCCTATGATATAGCATTCATAAATGATACCTCACTATTAATGGTATTCTCATCAAAATTATGCCCAGGAACATTTTAGTGATTGTGTAAGGGAGGATAGGTTGAACCAGGAATTGAGATCAGTTCTGAGCTTTGGCTTTAAGCACTATGTGGTCTCTTAAGTTTCATGAGGTCCTTGGCACCCATTCCAGAGGCTTCTATTCATAAAGGATACTTTGGGAGAAGTGAGGTAATAGAGCTATTACAGTGAACAAAGCAGACAAAATCCCTTGCCTTCATGGAGATCACATTCTATCTACCAGGGTGAGATAGAGAAAGGAAATACACACATATAAAGTAAATAAGTACTTTAAAGAAAAAAATGCAGGGCTGGTAGAACACTTGCCTAGCATGTATGAGGCACTGGGTTCAATCCTTTTTTTTTTTAAATTCAAACTCTTTTTTTTTTTAACTTTTTTTTTATTTTTATTTTTTTTTTTTAGAGAGAGAGAGAGAGAGAGAGAATTTCAATATTTATTCTTCAGTTTTTGGCGTACACAACATCTTTGTTTGTATGTGGTGCTGAGGATCGAACCCGGGTCACACACATGCCAGGTGAGCGCGCTACCGCTTGAGCCACATCCCCAGCCCTGGGTTCAATCCTTAACACTATGTAAAAATAAATAAATAAAATAAAGGTATTAAAAAAGAAAAAGAATGCAGACTAAAGACACAGAAGATGATGGGAGGGGCTGGGGTCGTGGCTCAGTGGTAGAGCACTTGCATAGCATTTGTAAGGCACTAGGTTCGATTCTCAGCGGCACATAAAAATAAGTAAAGGTCCACCAATAACTAATAAAATATTTTTTAAAAAGATGATGATGGGAATAAAATACTGTTATTTTAGATAGAATATTAAAGGAATGCCAGTGTCTCTAATGAGGTAACTGTGTGTGTGTGTGTGTGTATATATAGAAGGATACTGGACATTGAAACCAGGGCCTTCTGTGTGCTAGGCAAGCACTCTACCACATCATCATTATGTTTTATTTTGGGACAGGACTTTACTGAGTTGCCAAGGTTGACCTTGAACTTGGAATCATCCTGCCTCAGCCTCTTGAGTATTACCTGGGTCTACCAGTATGCACCACAGTGCCTGGATTGATGAGTATCTTTTGAGGACAGACCTGAAAGAAGTGAGGAAGCACATCAGGGATATTTAAAGGAAAAGTTTTATAGTCAGAAAGCACAATAATTCCAAAAGCCTGAGATGGGCTTGATACAGTGGCGTACGCTTGTAATCCCAGAGGCTGAGGCAGGTGGATCACAAGTTCAAAGCCAGCCTCATCAAAAGCAAGGCACTAAGCAACTCAGTGAGACCCTGTCTCTAAATAAAATACAAAATAGGGCTGGAAGTGTGGCTCAGTGTTCCAATGCCCCTGAGTTCAATCCCTGTTATGTCCAAAACAAACAAGCCTGAGATGGGAGCACGCATGGCTTTTTTAAGGAATACCAGGGTGGCTCTCATGGCTATATTAGAGTGAATTGATCTGTTTTAAAAGAATTGCTTTGGATGTAGATGAATGAGTGAGTATAGGTTTGAAAAATTAGTTTTTTGCTGAATGGAGCTCAATGGCCCCTGAGGGCATGGATTAGGATCAGTAGGTGTCCTAATTTGGAATTTGACAATCAGGTGGTCTCTCTTCCAGGCTTGGCAGTCTGGGTGTCATGGACTACTACCTGATGGATGCTGCCTCCTTGCTGCCTATCCTGGCTCTTGGTCTACAGCCTGGGGACATTGTTCTTGACTTATGTGCAGCTCCTGGAGGAAAGACACTGGCATTGCTTCAGACTGGCTGTTGCCGTAAGTGAGGGAGCTGGTGTGTTGGGCAGGGAGGGCACCCCACCTTACTTGATTAGGGCACATTGCATTGAATGGTAAGCTTTCTTGTCCCAGTGTCAGAACAGGGACAGTACTAAGTACGTGTAGTTTTTTGTTTGCAATTATTTCCTCCCTTTCTCTGTCAGTGGGTCAGGTAAGATTGCTGAGCCAGGCCTCCTAAGGCAGATTAATGCAATGCTCTGATAAATTGATCACATGACACTTTTACCCCTCTGTATCTGTTTATTTTCTCTCTAAGATTAAGCCTCATTTCTTTGGCCAGCATGCTAAAACAATAAGACTGGCCACAGCTCCATTTATAGTTTTATATCTTACTCTTCCGCAGGCTTTTTTTAAAAAATATTTTTAGTTGTAAGTGAACATAATACCTTTTTAAAATTTGTTTATGTGGTGCTAAGGATTGAACCCAGTGCCTCACACATGTGAGGCAAGCGCTCTATCACTGATCTATAACCCCACCCCTACCCCAGGCTTTATCATCTCTCTAGAATTATCAACCCCACCTTAGCTCAGCACCAGCTCCTCACCCACATATAAATAAATAAAATAAAGGTCCATCAATAACTTAAAAAAAATTAAAAGAAAATAGTTTCATGAAAACTTTTTTTTTTCCTTTGTGCCCTGAGAAATAGCCACAAGAGGCTATGATTTTCACATCCAACCTGAATCTTAGCTGGGCTTCTCTTATCAATTCCTGAACTTTTCTGGGTCTGAACCTTTCTGTTCTGGTTTATGTCAGCCCACTTGCACAGTTTTGATTAACCTCCAATTTCATGAGTAATTCAGAGAGGTATCACATTTGGTCTTAGTCTTCTGCAGTTCCAGAAGAGAAAGGATGTTGATATGGGTCTAAAGAGTCCAATGCAGGAGAGCCCAACCTGTGTAGGTTTAGGCCGTGCTAATCTAAGTGCTATGGGAATCCATCAGAGAGAAGATAAGTGAAGGTAAGATTACTTAGAAAAAGAACCTAAACTAAGAGGAGGGAAAAGGACAAACCTTGCTGTTCTAAGGTATGCTGAATTACCGGCACCTCTTCCAGCTTCTCACCCAAGTGACTGAAGAGAAAGAGGCATCATTTCTCAGCTGACCAGCAGCAATTATGAAGGAAGACCTTCTGGAGTTGGCACACTTGAGCTCCTTATCAAGTTTTTTTTAACTAGGGATTGAACTAAAAGGTACTTTATCACCAAGCTATATCCCTAGCCATTTTTATTTTTAATTTTGATACAGGGTCTTGCTAAGTTGCTTAGGACTTTGCTAAGTTGCTGATGCTGGCCTTAAACTTGTGATCCTCCTGCCTCAGTCTCTTGAGTCCCTGGGATTGCAGGCATGCACTACCACACCTAGCTCAGCTGACTTCCTAATACCAGGAAGATAGGATCACAGACTTTCAGTGCAGGAAGGGAACAGAGTTGACCTTTTCCAGCTTTCCTATTTTATGGAAGTGGAAACTGAGCTCTGGGGAGATTACATAGAACCACAATTAGAACCCATCTTTCCTTTTTCTCAGTTTATATCTTCCTGAAAAATTCTTCTAGACCAGAGAATCTGATTTTTACTTCTTTGAGTGCCCTCAAAAATTGGAATATTTCTTTTCAGAAACACTAAGCTGTTCATAGTAGTGACCATTCTTGTTAAATAAGATATATACTCTCCATTTTTTTCACTACAGTTCCTACCCTGGCTTGTCACTCCTTGACTTTGAGGCTAGGTATCGACTGTCATTTATCATCAAGCTTGTAGTAATATTTTTCTTATAGTAGAACTGAGATCAAAATGAGTTATTTCCTGAACCCATGTTTGTCAAAGAAAGAGAAAAAAATGAAATGTAGATAGTAAATCTGAATTAAGTAAACTAAGTGGCTTAAAGAAGAAATGTTTGGGGACTGGGGTTGTGGCTCAGTGGTAGAATACTTGTCTATCATGCATGAGGCACTTGGTTTGATCCTCAGCACCACATAAAAATAAAATAAAGATATTGTATCCATCTAAAACTAGGGAATAAAATATAAAAAAAAAGAAGAAGAAGAAATATTTGGGGGGCTGGGGTTGTGGCTCAGGGGTAGAGTGTTCACCTAGCATGTGCAAGGCCCTGGGTTCGATACACAGCACCACATATAAATAAATAAAATAAAGGCATTGTGTCCAACTACAACTAAAAAATAAATATTTTTTTAAAAAGAAGTTTTTTGGCCAGGTGTGGTGGCGCATACCTGTAATCCCAGCATGTCGGGAGACTGAGGCAGGAGGATTGTGAATTCAAAGCCCGCAATAGTGAGGTGCTAAGCAACTCAGTGAGACCCTGTCCCTAAATAAAATACAAAATAGGACTGGGGATGGCTCAGTGATCAAGTACCCCTGAGTTCAATCTCTGGTACACACACACACACACAAATATACACACAAAAAAAAATAGAAGAAGAAGAAGAAATTTTTGTGATCTTTTAGTGATAGAAGGTTATACACTAAGTTTTCTATACAGGAAATTCAGGGCTAGTATGAAGGCTATAAAATCCTCAGGGACTTGAGCCCCATTTTTCTTTTTTCAAAATATTTTCCTATTGGCATCATCCTCAGGATTGCCATTATGGTTCAGGTTGGCTATAGAACTCAAGCAAGCTCATTCAAATTTGAGGCAAGAAGAAAGGATTAGATAAGAGAGACTCTTCTCATCTAATGTGTCAGCTTTTAAAACACAACTTCCTAGAAGTCCTACACAGTACTTCTGTCTATAGTACATTAACCAAACAGTCATTTATTCATACTTAGTTGTAAAAGAAGGCAAGAAATATATTATTTGGGGCACAGTGCCTCCTACCAATAAAATTGGGGTTCCACTACAAAGGAATAAGAGGAGGTTTTTTAAATTTTTTTATTTTTGTACTGGGGATTGTACCCGGGGCGCCTACCACTGAGTGACATCCCCAGCCCCCCCTTTTTTTAGTTGTTGATGTACCTTTATTTTTTTATTTATTTATATGTGGTGCTGAGAATCAAACCTAGTGCTCACACGTGCTAGACAAGCGCTCTGCCACTGAGCCACAATCCCAGATCCTTTATTTTTTATTTGAGACAGGGTCTTGCTAAGTTGCTTAGGGCCTTGCTAAATTGCTGAGGCTGGTTTTGAACTTGCAATCCTCCTGCCTCAGCCTCACACGCTGCTGGGATTATAGGCATTCACCATCACCTCCTGCTAGAGGAGAATAAATTTTGAATAACCTGTAGCATCTACCAAAGATGGAGAGAGCTATATATGTTTCAAGAATAATGAAATGTGATGGTGTATGCCTGTAGTACCAGCTACTCAGAAGGCTAAGGCAAGAGGATCATTTGAATGCATGAATTTGAGACCAGCTGAGTGAGACCCTCATCTAAAAAAAAAAATTAATAATAATAGAATAGTGGGAGAGAGCAAGGTTCTTTAGAAATATTTGACCCCTAAGCAATCTGTCCATCCCTCTTTATCTCCAAGGTATGTTTTTCTTGCTCTTGCCTTGTCCTTGCCTTATAATAAACCTGCCTTAAATGCTTTTTAAAAAAAAAGTGAGAAAGAAAGAGGAAGGAAGGAGGATTGCTCGATTCTCACTTGGTCTGCTTTATTTATTCACTCATTTACTCAGCCTTTCTGGCCCATGTAGGTGTTTGCCCTTGTGTCCTCTACTCCAGAATGACTAATTTGGTGCTGTATACATAACAGATGTCCTTGTTTCTAGGGTCTACATTGATTGACTGCCTGAGAATTGGTCTGACTGTATATCAGCACCACCATTAGTAGAATGTTTTATTGGGCCATGGCCTCTGAGGTTTCTTTTTTTCTTTTTGGTGGCACTGGGGATTGAACCCATGGTACTTTACCACTGAGCTACGTCACCAGTCCTTTTTACTTTTTATTATTATTTTTTTTGTTTTTTGATTTCAAGGATTGAACTCAGGGGCACTTAACCACTGAGCCACATCCCTAGTCCTTTTTTTTTTTTTGTGGTGCTAGGCATTGAACCCAGGGTCTTATGATTCTGAGGCAAGTACTCTACCAACTGAGCTATATCCCCAGCTCCCCTAGCCCTTTTTATATTTTATTTTGCTAAGTTGCTGAGGGCCTTGCTAAATTGCTGAGGCTGGCCTTGAGCTGGTGAGTCTCTTGCCTCAGTCTTTTGAGTTGCTGGAATTACAGGCATGAGCCACTGCATCCAACTGAAGTTTATTTTCACAGGCAACCTCGCTGCCAATGATCTCTCTACTGCCCGAACGAGCAGACTACAGAAGGTCCTTCATAGCTATGTGCCTCAAGATATCAGGGAAGGAAACCGAGTTCGAGTCACTTCATGGGATGGCAGGAAGTGGGGAGAACTGGAGGGGGACACCTATGACCGAGTGAGTAATTCCTGATTTAGGATATCTATTGAGCTAAATCTGACCTCAGACCCTGAAGGGATAGGATCTAACCCCTCTATTTAAGCATGTAGGGCTGTCTCTAGACTTGGTCAATTTCCCATGGGTATTTGGACAAAAAAAATCATCTACACTAATGTGTTCAGCTTAAATGATAAGCTTCTATCTTCATTAGAGTTGGCATCAAAAATAATTTGAACCTAATCAAATAGGGAAAAAAGTTATTAGACTTATTTCTCAAGTCACTTGGTTACTCAGAAACCTCATGAAGGTAAGTATGCATAAGTTTATTATATTTATTTCTTAATTGTAATACAGCACATGGTGTAAAATTCAGAAACCACAAGAGGGTATCCAGTAAAAAGTAAGTTTCCTTCATACTCTTGTACTCAGCCATCTACTTCCCTAAAGATAACCATTATTTCTATTTTTTTTCTACAACCTTTAAAATATATTGTTTGTAGCATGAAGGCATGTGCCTATAATCCCAGCTACTTGGGAGGCTGATTGCAAATTCAAGGCCAGTTTGGTAAACTTAAAAATAGAAAAAGGGCTGGGAAGCCAGGTACAGTGGCACATACCTATAATCCCAGTGACTCAGGAGGCTGAGGCAGGAGGATTGTGAGTTCCAAACCAGCTTCAGCAACTTACTGAGGCCCTGAGCAACTCTGTAAGACCCTGTCTCTAAATAAAATACAAAAAAGGGCTGGGATTGTGGCTCAGTGGTTAAGCATCCCTAGGTTCAATCTCCAATACAAAAAAAAACAAAAGATTATTCAGTAGTTGAGTGCTAAATCAATTTCCTGTATCTATCCATCTCTCTCTCTCTCTCTCTCTCTCTCTCTCTCTCTCTCACACACACACACACACACACACACACACACACACACACAGTGTGTATTTTTAAAAAAATAGGATGTGGTGCTAAGGATCAATAGTACTGATTACTCATTATTCTGACCTTTATTTTTTTGTATGTAATATTATATCTTGGGGTTCAATCCTATTTAATTTAGTTTTTATTTGTTTTGTGGCGGTGGAGATCAAACCTGGGGTCTTATGCATTCTAGGCAAGAGCTCTACCATTAAGCTACATCTCTGGCCCATTTTTTATTTATATTTTTGAAGTAAATTACTCTTTGGAGGTTAAAACAATTTCATTCATACTGGTAATGAATGACTACCATTTTCCTACAACCTGCCAACATTGGTGCTCTCAAATTTTGTTTTTTGCCATACAGATAGTATCTAATTTACATTCTCCTAAAAATGAAAGTATTTTTATATTTTTAAGTTATTCTTTTTCTTTCAATTGGTATACTCTAAAATATTTATTTAAAATATATACTTCTAGGACTGGGGATATAGCTTAGTTGGTAGAGTGCCTGCCTTGAATACACAAGGCCCTGGGTTCAATCCCCAACACCCCCCAACACACACACACACACAAATATATATATATATACATTTTTTTTTTTTTTAAAGATTAAAAATATATAACTATTGTCTCTGTGTTGTCATCTGATAAATCTGTCTAGTTTTTTTCTATCCAGTCTCAACCATTCTTAAGAAATTGAAAGAAAGACCAAGGCGCTTATAGAATCTTGGGTAGGTTTGAGAGACATGCTTCCTGCCTGTTAGGAATCCCTTATTCAGTATTTTTGGCCTGGAGGCAGAAGAACAGTAGAAGAGTTCTGTTTCAGCCTAACCAGTTTCTGTATTATAGGGTCATCACTTACTGATCTTGAGCAAACTGATCTCCCTGAGCTTCAGCCTAACTTCATTTTCCCCGACAGTGTTGAGGATGGAACCCAGGGCCTTGCACACGTGCTCTACTGCTGAGCTACATTCTCAGCCTTTATCTCTTCATTTGTGAAAGTGGGTAATCATACCACATAGGAGTATTATAAAGATTCAGTGAGAATATCTAGGGAAAGCATTTAGTACAGTCAGTACCTGGTCATGAAGATTAGGCAGGTGGTAGATCTCATCAGTATTCAGCGTATGCTTGCATAGTTTCAAGAGTTTACTCAGGTTCTGTTTTTGAATACCTTTAATGTTAGAAGTTCTTCCTTTTATGGAATTAAAATCTGTAGAAGGCAAGGATTTTGGATCTAGACTTCTTAGTTTGGAATCCTGACTCTATCACTTACCAATCTGAGGATTTTGTGTGTGTGTGTGTGTGTTTATTAACCCTTCATTTAAGCTTTAGCTTCTTCATCTGTAAAATGAGGTGAATAGTAGTACCTGTCCCATTGGTGGAGATTAAATAAGAATGCATTTGAGCTGAGCATGAGTGCATGCCCATGATCCCAGCTACTAGTGAGGCTAAGGCAGGGGAATTCATTGAGCCCAAGAGTTTCAAATAAGCCTGGGTAATTTAGTTAGATCTCATCTCAAAATTTAATAAATTTTTTAAAAAGGAGCCAGACACACACCTGTAATCCTAGTGACTTGGAGGCTGAGGGAGGAGAATCACAACTGAGGCCAGTCCAGACAACTTAGCAAGACCCTGTCTCAAAAATAAAAACTAAAAATGTCTAGGGATTCAGCTCAGTGGTAGGGCACCCCTGGGTTAAAAAAGCATTTAGTACAGAACCTGAAATATTGAAAACATTCTATATTATTATCATCACAATCTTTTTTTATTAGTTCTTTTTAATTATATATGACAATAGAATCCATTTTGATATAATTTTAAAAATTGTTTTGTAGTTGTGGGTGGACAGAATTCCTTTATTTGTTTATTTTTATGTGGTGCTAAGGATTGAACCCAGTGCCTCACACATGCTGTGTAAGCACTTTGCCACTGAGCTAAAGCCCCAGCTCCCATTTTGGTATAATTATGAAAGCATGAAATATATCTTGTTCTAATTCAGACAGATGCCAATTCCTCTCCTTTTCCTTCCTTCTCTCCACCCCCTGCTCCATTCCTTTTATTCCTTTTATTGGGAGAAACATTTACCTATAGTTATTTTTTTTTAATTATTTATTTATTATTTGTTCTCCTTAATTGTACATGACAGCAGAATGCATTTCAATTCATCGCACACAAATGGAGTGCAACTGGTGGTTCTGGGGATTGATCCCAGCGCCTTGTGCATGTGAGGCCAGCACTCTACTGACTGAGCTATCTCCCCAGCCCCATATAGTTATTTTTTTAAATTAATTTCTTGTGGATGTACCTGATGTGAGATTCACTGTGGTGTATTCATATGTACATAGGAAAGTTATGTTAGATTCATTCCATTGAATTTCCTTTTCTCATCCCCTCTTCCTTCATTCTGTCTTGTCTACTCTATTGAACTTCTTTCTCTCCCCGTCTCTTATTGTTGGTTAGCTTCCACATATGAAAGAAAATATTGAACCTTTGGTTTTTTGGAATTGGATTATTTCACTTAGCAATGATAGTCTCCAGATCCATCTGTTTACTGGCAAATGTCATAAAGTCATTCTTCTTTATGACAATGGACTAATACTCCATTGTATATATGTACCACATTTTCTTTATCCATTCATCTGTTGAAAGGCACCTAGGTTGGCTCTATAGCTTAACTATTGTGAATTGAGCAAGTGTAAACATTGATGTGGCTACATTACTGAAGAATGCTGATTTTAAATTGTTTGAATAAAGGATTTATACATGACCAGTATAACTCCACATCATGTACAACCACAGGGCCTCTTATTTTTCCTTATTTTCATGAGGAGTGGGGTAACTGGGTCAAATGGTGGTTTCATTCCTAGTTTTTTGAGGAATCTCCATATTGCTTTCCATAGTGGTTGCATCAATTTTCAATTGTACTAACAATGTATGAGTGTACTCTTTTCCCCACATCTTTGCCAACATTTTCTGTTATTTGTGTTCTTGATAATTGTCATTCTGACTGGAGTGAAATGAAATTTCAGTGTAATCTTAATTTGCATTTATCTAATTGCTAGAGATGTTTTTTCATGTATTTGTTGACCATTTGTATTTCTTCTTTTGTGAAGTGTCTATTTAAGTTCTTGTTTAGTAACCCATTTATTGAGTGGGTTATTTGTTTTTTTGGTGTTAAGTTTTTTTAAGTTCTTTGTATATCTTGGATATTAACATTCTGTCTGAGGTCCAGGTGGCAAAGATTTACTCCCATTCTGTATGCTGTCTCTTCATGCTCTTGATTGTTTTCTTTGCTGTGAAGAAGCTTTTTAATTTGATGCCATCTCATTTATTGATTTTTAAATTTTATATCTTGCACTTTAGGATTCTTGTTAAGGAAGTCTTCCTTAACAGATATGTTGAAGTGTTGGTCCTATATTTTCTTCAAGGAGGTTCAGGGATTCTGGTCTAATTCCTAGATCTTTGATCCACTTTGTGTTGAGTTTTGTGCAGGGTGAGAGATAGGGATTAGGTTTCATTCTACTACATATGGTTTTCCAGTGTCCCCAACACCATTTGTTAAAGAGGCTATCTTTTCTCCAATGTATGTTTTTAATACCCTTGTCAAGTAAGAGATAACTGTATGTATGTGGGTTTGTCTCTGTGTCTTTACTCTGTTTCGATGATCTCCATTATCTGTTTTGGTGACAATACCATGCCATTTTTGTTACTATAGCTGTGTAATATAATATAAAGTCTAGTATTGTGATGCCTCCTGCTTTGCTTTTCTTTCTTGCTAAGGATTCCTTTGGTTATTCTGGGCCTCTTATTTTTCCAAATGAATTTCATAACTGCTTTTTCTACTTTTTTAAAATTCTTTTTAGATATACATGACAGTAGAGTATATTTTGACATATTATACATACATGGAGTATAACTTCCCATTCTTGTGGTTGTACATGATGTGGAGTTATACTGGTCATGTATTTATATGAACATAGGAAAGTCATGTCCGATTTATTCTACTGTCTTTCCTATTCCCATACCCTCTCCCTTCCCTTCATTCCTCTTTGTCTAATCCAATGAACTTCTGTTCTTTCCCCTCCCTGGCTTCTTGTGAGTT